AACAACAAAACCACACAAACATTCCGGTTTCTCCGAGACTTAAAAATCGCTCATGACTAAGCCAAAAAATAACAGGCATCTCCAGCTCCTTCTAGCGGGGCAGCTTTTCGCAGATGCTCGGCCAACAAACCAAATAAACTCTTGGTTCCTTTAACTATGAAAGCTTCAGCAGTAAACCCAGAATCTTTGCCCAGGGCGCATACTGACAAACTAAACCTGCTCTAGCTTCCCACTCCTTCCACCGCTATCTCAGCTCCCTTAAAATCCATCCCCACAGATATTCCCCAGACATCTGCTCGAACGCGTTAACAAATTCATTAACTTCTTTTGGGTAATATTGCGGCGGTGGGGAATGCATCCTCGGCTAAGGATCAGGAGACTATTTCCTCAGGCAGACTGGGCCCAGGAGAATCTGAGGATTCAACGCCAGTCTCCTTAGGGTGCTCCCACGCATCGCCAACCCAAGACACAGGATCCCGTTCTTTTATAATCAGCGCTCTCATTTTAACTGCTGGCACCCGCCAAGGCTGGGAATTACATGTGCACTGTAAGTCAGCTTGATTGTGTAAGGAGGGTTTGGGTTTGGTTTTTCTGCAACTTGAGTTCTAATGGCTGCCGGATTCTCTTCCCGGGCACACGCAGGAACCTTTAGATTATTTCTGCATACCTGGGAATCACCAAGTTTATCACGCAACTCATTTTTTTCTTTCTCTGTTAACTTTATTAAAAGATATTAAAGGGAGCAGGCAGCATCATTATACTTCCCACAAATGTTCAAAGGTTTTTATATAAAGTCTCAAATGCCTGGTTTCTCACAGGAGATGAATCAGGCCTGTCAAACGCACTTAGCTTGCATAGCTCTTTAAATAGCTCACACCATGGACTTTCAGGGCTCTCCATGCCATCAGAACAGTCTTGAGTGAGCATGGGTTTCATCCAGTTGGAGGGCCAGCTCCAGATACCACCAAGACCATTAGAGAAACTCATGCTCACAATTCTGTTTCTTCAGAACCACTCCTGGTGCTACAGTTTGTATTAGTCAATGTTCTCTGGAGGAACAGAAGCAAAAGGATGGAAACAGCCCAGGTGTGGCTCAAAATCCGCAGTGTTCTCTTAAACAACCACAGCTAGATTACCCAGACTGCGGAGGTATTTGTACACTGTGCATTCAAATGCTGATTTCTGTATGCAGAGATCTGGGTGCAGTCCAGACTCTGACACTGTCATTATTCTGAAGCATCTCCTGTCTTGGTATGTTGTAAATATTGTTCTCCATCACCTTCTGACCAGTTAAATAAAGAGCTGAACAGCAAACAGCTGGGCAGGAGAGGCTAAGGCGGGACTTTGGTCCAAGTGAGAGGATCCCAGGTGGGGCCAGAGAGAGGCAGGAGTCGACATTAGGACATAGATGGACAAGGAGGTGCCAGAGTGAGACTAAGAAGGCAGGTAAGAGGCCACGTGGCCGGGAAGTAGGCCAGGCCAGTGTATCTGCCCAGCTTTAGTGCCCAAAGATTTAATAAACACAAAGGTCTCCGTGTCATTATTTGGGAGCTAGGGTAAGTGTGAAAAAAACCCTGCATTTTACATCCAGACATCTATCCCTAATCAGTGATAGTCATAGTTACCGCTGTTGTTTATAAAGCCCTTACAAGGCGAGCAGAGTGATTGCATTTGACACTAGTGATCACCCCACTAGCTAGCGTTATCAAGAACTTCGCTCCAGGCTGGAGTGGTGGCTTAGTGGTCATGAGCCGTCCCTCCAGAAGACCTGAATTCAGCTCCCGCCAGCACCTACAAGATGGCTCACTCCCTGTAACTCCAGTTCCAGGAAATCCATGCCCTCTTCTGTCAGGCTTGCAAGGGATACACAGACTCATGTACAGGCAAAACGCTCATACACACAAAATAAAGTAATACAGGAAGGAAGGGAGGAAGGAAGACAGAAGGAGAGAGAGAAAAGAACTCCACTCCACAGTCGAGGAAACCGAGTTTTCCAAAAGTTCGGTTTGTGTGACAATCTGTCTAACCCCAGAACGTTCTCTTGATCGCCCATCAGAGCACAGAAAACTCAGCTCCAGCCCTGGACTTACCTAGGCAAGGCTTCCGACAGTGCTGCTTCAATTTCCTTGTTAATTAAATGGGGCTGTTGTCACTCGCTGTCTACTCCACAGAGAGACTGGGATGATACGAGGACAAAGAGCAAAAGCTTCAGAAGGGAAATTGCTCTAAATCTGGATACTGCCGCGAGTTTCACTCGGTCCCCACTGCATGGCCATACAGGGATTTAGCTTACATCGTTAGCGCTCACACACCGTCTGAGGAGGGCAGGAAGTATTATTATCTTCACTTAGCAAAGCATGAAATGCAAGGAGATGACATAATCTGCAACCCCTGGACTAAAATCTCAGATTTCTAACTCCCACTGCCATGTTCTCGGGGTACGGTCTGTCTTCCACACTTCCAAGCTAATTGTAAAATAGTCAAGGGAGAAATATCAGTGCCCACTTCAAAGCAGAGACTAAGTACTTGCAGACATTAACAATTCCACTGCAGGGACGCTCATATAATCTCTAAGGTTTGGGTTTTGCTTTTGTTTTTTTGTTTTTCTCGAGACTTGGTTTCTCTGTGTAGCCCTGGCTGTCCTCAACTCACTTTGTAGACCAGGCTGGTCTTGAACTCATGGAGATCTGCCTGCTTCTACCTCCCTGAGTGCTGGGATTACAGGTGTGTGCCATGGAGCCCAGCTTATCTCTAAAGTTATTAATCTTCATAGTTTAAAGAAACTACACTTTAGTCCAGAGGGAAAACAATCCACATTCCTTCTAATGGACACCAGCTCTTTATCATGCTCAATTAACTTGTTACTAACTAAAGGCTACAAAGCTAGGTGTTATCACCTAGTTTCAATGGTTGAGCCTATCCCCTTTCTCAAAGAACAGAAAATTTCATTACTAAACTGTCCCTCATAAGACCAGAGAAAGAGGGGTAGGTGATGCCTTTGAGTCCAGCATTTGGAGGCAGAGACATGGATTTCTGTGAGTCCGAGGCTTGCATAGCCTACACAGTCAGATCCAAAATAGCCGGAGCTACAAAGTAAGACCCTGTCTCAATACCCAGCACTCAGGGAGGCAGAGGCAGGCAGATCTCTGTAAGTTTCAAAAAGAAAAAAATGTCAAAAGAAAAAAGAAGTATCAAATACATTCTCACTCCATGGACACTTACTTGAGCCATATACTTTGGTTTGGAGATGATTCTAACGGACAGATCCTGTGATTCTAACGGATCACACCCTGAGATCAATACCCAAGAATCAAAGTAAAGAGTAGAACTAAAGTGCTCATGATGGTGCCCTAGCACCATCCTAAATCACTCTCCTCCTCCATGGAGCCCAACAGCAGTCTCTTGCTTCCCAGCCAAGACCTCCAACAGAGACACCCAAACCTTGAAGTAAAATAAAAAGCAGTAATGGCGGGGGGGAGGGGCCCTGGGGAGCCGGCTTAGCCAGCAATGCAAGCACAAGCACCTGAGTTCAAGCACCAGGAGCCACACAGAAATCTGGCACGGCGAGGCATGCCTACAACAGCAGCACCGGGGAGGTGCAAATAGGTGAATCCTGGGGACCTGCCAGCTCCTCTAGCCAAATAGGTGAGCTTCAGGTTTAGTGACGGATGAGGTGGAAAGAGCCTGAAGGGGATAGCCAATGGCAGCCCGTGGCTTCCACTTGCTCTGACCCTCCCCAACACATGCCCGCCCACACAATAGTAATGGGACCAGGAAACGAGAGCTCAGTCTAGCTCTCTTAATTTTTGTTTTCTAGAATACCACAAACCCCTTCAGTCATTACTAGTTTAATAACCACACACTCTGAAGTCACCACAATGGAGGAAGAGGAAACACGAGAAATTTCCACACAGAGTTGAAATCTACAGAATCCCTGTTACTCTGTGACTGACTGAAAACACAGACTTACTTACAAACAGTATGTCATTCTGTCAGAGAGACAAAAACCAAACCACAACAATCAAAGTTATTCTACTAAGAGGAAGCCACACTTGATCTTACCCAAGAGGCCGGGAATAAAGAATTCTATATATGCGAAGAGAATTTGCATTGTGGATGGGTGGATGGAGCTATCTGTATCCACTCCTGCTGTGTGCTCTGAGGGAAGGAATTGATGACATGAGATACTGAGATTTCTCAGAGTCCGTCTTTCCCACAACAGTCTAGTTTTCCTTTGAGAGAAATATTTATCTGGCTTCCGTAATGGAAGCCAATCCCATCGTCTGTTGGGCCAGAGGCCCTAAGATCTCCTGAACTCTATTATAGATGGGAATTAGCTAGGGATCTTGTTAAACTACAAAATATGACTCGGAGGGCCTGGGCTGCAAGCCTAACGCACGCTCAGCTGATGCCATCAGCTGCTTGATGGGCCATATTTTACAGTAGTAGGACTCTAAGGAACGCTTTCAAATAGAAATAACCTGCATCAAATGCTTCTGAAAATACCGCGTCCACGCAGACTCTGCCAGGGAAGAGAGTCCACACGAGGCACCTACCTCTCAGTGCACTTTTACCATCTTTCTTTAACCGCCCGGCTGCGCGCTGTCTCAGTTGCTGGTCCATCGCTATGATAGAACACCACGAACAAAGCACCTTACACAAGAAAGCGTCTCCTGTGGGGCTTACGGTTTCAGACCATCTGTGACCGCCGTGGCGGGGAGCAGGTGAGCAGGCGCGGCCCTGGAGCGGCAGCCGAGGGCTCGCATCTTGAGGCACAATCATGAGGCAGAGAAAGCCAAGTGGGAATGGTGTGGGCTTTGAAACCTCAAAGCCAGCCCCCAGTGACACACCTCCTCTACCTCCTCACCCTTCCCAAACAGCTCACCAGCTGGGAACCAAGTATTCACACACGCCCCCCCCCCCCCCCCCCGGGCCACTCTCACTGAAAACACCAGACACACCCACTTACCACCTTAGCAAAGAGCAACTTTCAGGAATGATTTTCGTGTGTGTGCTGACAATTTATTGAGGCTTGTCTGACTGGGGCTTGTATGAATGGACATAGAACATCAAGGCTTTTTTTTTGTAATAAAAGACAATTCAAAATAAATACGCATTTTAAACAAAAACTATGTCAAACACTAATGAATAACCAATGTTTGCAAATTTTAAGAAAAATCATTTAGGATTAATAATTTTCATTTCCCCCACAGGATAAATAGCTCACTCAGCTCTCAGCTCTCTTTAAACAGGATGAAAAGAGTCAAACAGAAATAAAGTCATGCCCCTGGCATAGTCATGACGTTATTTTCAGTGGGGAACTCTTTACCAAGATTAAGACACACAGAAGTATCTGAGAAGAATCATGTCACTGAATTGTCTGGAACCCGGGAATGCATTTTGGGAAAGAAAACAAGCAGCAAAGTTGAGAAAAGCTTTAGACGGAAAGTCCATTCCCCTTGAGAAAAACTAATAAACACCCACAAACTTCCACCTTCAGGTTTTCAAACTAGTCTACCCTCTACCCCCAAATCCAGCCAAACACCATACACTGAGTTGGCAATAGGCTCAGCTGGCTATCCTCCCTGGTTAGCCTTTGAGGCCTTTCCAGCCAGTGACAGGAATGTCTGTGTGGATGGAACCAGAGCGCAAGGAGATCCTCGCCTCTTCTCTCCGTGCAGCGCGTGTGCCTCGTGTCCCGTGGGCAGGGCTCAGTGCTTCTGTGTGCTCTTCAGGCCCATCACGGCGAAGGTGGCAGCTGTCAGTTTCTCGTACACAAGGAACATGAGGGCAGCCGTGAGCACTGTCTGCAGCAGCTTGGCCTCAAGGCCTTTGTAGAGTCCCATTATTCCAAAGCGCCTAAAAGAAAGGAGGTTGGGGGGAAAAAGTTGTGTTTTTTTTTGTTTTTGTTTTTGTTTTTTAAATCTTAGAGAGATCTGCTGCCCTGATAGTTTTTCTCTGAAAGGGTTTCTCTTTGGGATCAAAACAAGCACTGGAGGTTTTCAATTCCAACAGTCTGCTGCTGGAAGACTTCCGAGCTTTGAAGGCACGAGGGACAGATGAAGAAGCTCAGTACTGAGGGGCCATCGATACTGTCTTTATTATAGTTGTCACTAGCTAGTGGGATGCTGCCAACACAGCACTAATAAAATACAGACTCTGAAAGTTTCTGAAACCATCATAATGCCCTAAACCAGAGAGCTAAGAACTTTTAAGTTTAATGGGTCCCAACTCAGGTATTTCAACTGAACAGCCCCTAAGTGGTAGGAAAGCCATTAATTGGTTTAGATGATTTTAACCTCCATAGAGCTAACGGAAGAGACGAAAATGAAAAGCTGTCTGATTCTCAGACCCGCCTGTACATTTGGTCCTAGGGTGCAAATGACATTCAACAAGAACCTGAGTTACCCAGGGCTGCTGGTTAAAATACAGATCTGCTGGCCCACTCCCAGAGTGGCTGACTCATAAACTTTGGGACAGGACTCAAAAAATGTGCCTGTCCAACAAGCTCCTCCAGGTGGTGAGGAGGAGCATGTCAGCTCGGGGACCAGGACTTAAGAGCTCCTCAGAGAACTTGTTGGCTAGAACCCAAAGCTCAGAGCAAATAACCACTGCCACATCTGTATTTTTTTTTTTTTTTGTGGGTTCTCATGAAAGCACTTCATGAACTGAGCCATCTCCCCAGCCCTTCAAGTGTTTCTTAATCACATAAACCTGGAGAGGCTTGGTATGTTATGTCATTGTCAGTGACAGTAACCAGAAGCCAGATATGGCAAACGAAAATTAAAACAATGGCTGGGCAGTGGTGGTGCGTGCCTTTAATCTTAGCACTTGGGAGGCAAAGGCAGGAGGATCTCTTTGAGTTCAAGGCCAGGCTTGCCTGAAGAGCTGGTTCCAGGTCAGCCAAGGCTATAAAAGAAACCCTGTCTCGGAAAAAAAAAAAAAGAAAACTGAAAAAACTGAAACAATGGGAAACTCGGGTTCTCAGTAGCATTGGCGCTATTTCCTGTGCTCGGTGCAGCAGTCACAACACTGCTGGACAGCGTGGCGTCACTGCAGAACAAGCTCCTGCAGAGCAACGGCAGCCAGCCGTTCACCTGGCTCTGCCTCTCTCTAGTGTTGGACTGTTTTCTCCAAAGATCTGCAAAATGGGAACACAACCACTTTTCTGCGGGGCTGAGTGAGGACCAAACAAGACCAAGAAACAAGATGTGAGAACACTTTGATTTGCAAATTATAGGGCCTCGTCAATTTCCAATTGACATCATCTTAGTTAAACCCCTTAGCTACGCCCATCTTCCTTAACCTTCTCAGTGCTGGCAAAACTTTTAATTGCTGTCACTCTTGGAGGTCAATTAGCAATGTCTCTAAATACATGACTTTTGAAATTATAAAATGTCAAAATTTTACATGTTCTAATTCTTTTAACTAGGTAATTCCACATATAGGACTCACCCTATAATTATGATTGCTTAATTGTACAAGGCTCATTTATAGTCGTCACTAATCAACGACTGTTAAAAAAAAAAAAAAAAAAAAAAAAAAAAAAAAACCTTCAGACAGCCGAGGCAGTCATCAGTAGATGCACTAGTGAATACGTCACAGTGATTTACACGACAGGAAACCAGTACAAGTCGATGCTTGTCAATGGCAAGGGACGGGTGTGATGCCCAGGTTACAAGACAGGAGAAAATGAGGCAGGACGATGCCTCAAGTTTGAGGCTAGCCTGGTCTACTTGGCAAGTACTAGCCCAGTCAGGGCTACAGAGCAAGACTCTGCCTCAAAAAAAATAAAAACAAAACAGTAAGCAGATATATATACTGAAAACATATGTTTCGTGTAATTCTCTAGAAATGTCATACTTTACAGCAACTACCTCTTGGAAGAGGAACAAAAAGAGAGGGAAACTGGTTTTTACATATATGTAAATATGTAATTTTTTTTTTTTTTTACATTTAACTGGCTTTAACTTGGTGAGTTTTGTTTTATTTACTTTGAGACAGTCTCATTCACTATGTGGCCCAGGTTGTCTTAGAACTTGCTCTATAGGACCTGGCTGGCCTCAAACGCACTGAGATCAGCCCGCCTCTGCCTCCCATGTGCTGGGATTAAAGGCGCGGGCCACGATGCCTGGCTTCTTTATTTTTTTCTTGGTGCTAGGGTTTGAATCCAGAACTGGGCACATACTAAGGACAGGCTCCACCACAAAGATCTACTCCTAGCCCTGGGGGTTCCCTTCCCAAAGGAGTTCTGTATATTTATAACTAGCAAGGAATAAGGACCTGAACTTTCCCATAATTCTCCAAACTGCCATCAAATCACCACGCTCCTAAACTAAGGAAAACCTGAACACAAGGGATGGTTTGGAGGCTGCTGCTGCACTAGAGCAAGAACAGCTCATGCGACCACCCCACCCGTCCATCCTGGAAGAGGAGGCTGCAGAAAGGGAAGGCAGGACAGGAGGCATCTCTCACACTCACTTGACTCGCTGGTGAAGAAGATAGAGAACATTCCGGAGACTCCCCAGTGTCCTGTTTTCTGGGTTTAGTCTATGACGTCCAAACTGAGAAGGAAGGAAAAGAAAGGAGATAATTACTATTTATCACTGGGTTTTTTTTTTAATCTTAATTTTGCTTTTTAAAAAGATTTATTTTTATTTTCGTCATGTGTATGTGTGTGTGTGTAGGTGCACATCTGGAGTGCTGGTGCCCATGGAATCCAGAAGAGGGTGTTAGGTTCCCAGGAGCTGGAGTTACAGGAGGCTGTGAGCTGGGAAGTGCTGGGAGGTGCATTTGGGTCCTTAAGCATCGAGTCATCACTCCAGCCCCTCTTTATCTTAACTTCTGCTTAGGGAATTACATTGGAGTAACGTCTCATAGCACAGCATTTGATAATAAACATATCCAGTTAGCACCACTGATTTTATTAATTCTCTTTTTCAATTAAATAAATCAAAATAAAAATCCTTCTCAATAAAGAAAGCATTTTTTAAATTGTTCTGGGGATGGAGTGAAGGCCTTCAATATGCTGAAATAGATACCCTCCGCACTGATCTACCTCCTCAGCATCATAACTTTCAGTTTCACAGAGAATTATGGGAAAACTCTACCCGTACAGACAAAAACAAAGCAGAAGCATGTGGCTGGGACGATGTGGGTGGTGACATGGGGGTCGGGGTGGAAACGTCCAGGTCTTTAAGACAGTCTGCCTGGTAAACACTGATCAGTCAGAATCGCTGCAGTCTACACTCTTCAAATCATGTATCACAAATGTGTTAAAAACATTTATGTGAACGCTAGCGGAATCCCTTCCATCAAAAGGGATTTACACAAAAATTGGACATTAGCAAAAACACTTTTCATGGAGAATAGTGCTTTTAACTGATATACCAGCTTCATTTTCTCTAGCAATAAATCCTTCAAATGTTCTCTCCAGAACAGATTCTTAACAATATTTTGGTTGTGCTGGGAATGGAACTCAGGAGCTCGAACATGCTAAGTAAGCCCCGGTATAGTTGTATACTGAGCAACACAGCAAGCCCCAGCACAGATCCTGAATCTGTCCACATCCTGTCTCCACTGCCGCTCACCTAGTCTGGGCTATCATGGTCCCACCTGGATTACCAAAATGGTCTCCTACCCAATTGGGCCCTCTTTTTCCTTCTCTTTAGCTTGGGGGTGGGGATGAACCTGTGTGCAGGGGGAGGCGAAACAGGGCCTCTGTTGTCTTTTCTGGATCTCACTGGCCCAGAAGCTTGTAGTATTGGCTCAGCTGGCTGGCTAGCCAGCTTTTAAGATCCCATGCTAGGGTTATAGGCACAGGAGTGGGTGCTGGAGATTTGAACTCAGGTTCATATGCTTACAGAGCAAACACTCTTACCCTGCCCCTCCCTATCAGCTGACCAATCCACACTGGCCTTCCAGAATGTACATCAACTTAAAAGTTCTTCCAAGGCCTCCTGCTGGGCTGAGACTAAAATCTTCCCACCCACTTTCCTCACCTACAGCTACTTTTCCTGTAATTCTTCCGGTTTCTTGCTGGGAAAGCCACTCCCCGCCACAGCTGCCTCCTTCCAGCTCCTAAGATGAAGCAAGCCTTGGCAAGTCATCTGGGAAGCACTGTCCTCCCCTTCACATTCCCTTGCACCCGGACTTCAGTGTGCCTCGCAGAGAGGCGGGCATTCAGCCATCCTGCCACACTGCGGCCTCATCAGTAACCAGTGCTCTTCCGGCCTAAAGGGCTGATTCAGCCTGTGATAACGACCTGGCTCTTTCACTTGCTGTCTCCTTGAAGACAGGGACCATGCTGGACCCCCCAGCTTCTCAAAGAGTGCCTGAAAATGTCTGAATGTATAAGCAACCAAATGTGTGGAAAAACTGAGATCTGAAAGTGCTTTGGAAAAGTTTAATGAGGGAACTAAGGGAGTTAAGGGTCATCTGCTCCATGGCACCTGGCAAACAATGTGCATGAGAAGGAAGCAAGCTCAGGTTGTCCTGGGGTCCCTGAGGAATCTCTTCACACATAAGGTTTTCCTGAGACAACATATTACTAAGAAATTACAATGTAAAAATCATTCCATGACATGCGGAGAGCCAGCCAGAAGCCTGGTTAGCAGAGACTGGCACACAGGGAAAAACAGGCCAAAGCACTCAGGCATAACCCGCAGAATTGCTTTTAAGGTTTCAGGATGTATTTCAGGTGTCACTGGATTTACTTTAGGGGGAACCCCAGCACTCACCCTCAGAATCGACTGTACCGTCTGCATGGGATAGGTGACCGTGGTGGCAATCGCTTTGGCTATTGCTCCAATGATGAACACATCCAGAGAAGAGAGCTGGACAGCAAAGGAGGAACCATTTCAATGGAGCAAGGAAACAGGCATTTCTTTCACACACTTTTAAAAGTAGGGATTACCTTCGTCCGCTTCTTTAAAAGCTGCCGTTTTAAGCCTTCGTAGAACATGAATTGGATGGCAGGATTGAAGACCAACAGCAAGGAGGGAAAGGTGCCATTCCACAGAGCCAAGATCCCTTCATCTCGAATAATCTGGTGGAATGCATCTAAGCAAGAAGGCAGGCTTTTGAAAAGCACCACGACAGTGCCCTAACTAGAAAAAGACAGTTATTCTGTTCAAATGGGCCCAGACAGAAACCATCCTCCATTCAACGGTGTTTTGGGGCCGATTCCCTAATTAGGTACATTTCTGTTCATCTAGGTTTTGTTTGTTTGTCTTAAAGATGTTCTTGCTATGTAACCCAGTGTGGCCCTGTATCTCCCTGCCTCAGACCGCAGGGGTGGACTGCCGTGCACTGTGGTTAACTGCTGTTTAATAACCATCAGAATGTGATGCCAGCCTCCAGCAGTATGCTTTTCCTGGCAACCCCGGGTTTGGAATGCTGCACTGTCAGCACGCCGGGCACTGGAAACCACAAACCGTATATTTCACAAGGCCTAGCATAACACAAGATAAAACAGTCTCTTAGCATCTATAATGAAGGACTTACAAGAAAAAAAAAAAAAAAAAAAAAAAACACTTGTGTTACAAAGAGAAATGAACGAGAAAGAGAGCCTGGCCATGCGACTCTACTAAAAAGCAGAAGCCAGGCACAATCCCAGCATTCTGGAGACTGAGACAGGAAGATCAAGACTTCAAAGCCAGGTGTGATCTTGCCTTGAAAAAGCAGAACTTTAAAGCCATCAGCTATGCTCATAGTATCTTTATCCGAAGGCACCATTACAGATTAAAGAGTGTACATTCTTTAAAAATATTAACCTGGGCTGGTTATGGTGCAAACACCCACACCACCAGCACTGGGAGGCTAAAAGGCAGGAGGACCTCAAGGTTGAGGCCAGCCAAGGTTACATCGTAGACAGGAGCAAGATGGGTGTGGTGGGTGACACCTGTCATTCAGCACTTGGAGGGCTGATACGACCTGCAGACCAGGCTAGGCCATTGCGCTCAAGGCCAACCTGGGAAACAGCAAAACTCTTGTCTCAAAAAAAACCCCATGTTTGCCTAGCATATACAAAGCCATGGGTTCTGGCATGGCACTGTGATGGACTCCCATAATCCCAACACTGAGATGTGGAGGCAGGAAGATCAGAAGTTCAAGTTCTTCAGCTATGAGTTTGAGGCAAGCCCAGGCTAGAAGAGACTTAAAAACAAATCAAAACTCCAAACCAAAACAACAAAATTTAGTTTATGGGTATAGCTCAGGAGTAGAATACTTGTCTAGCATACTTGAGACCCTGGGCTTAATACCTAGCACTGCAATAAATAAATAAATAAATAAATAAATAAATAAATAAATAAATAAATGAATAAATAAATAATAAAAGCTCACACTCTCCCCCCCCCCATCCCTAGTCTTAGGCTTGTTAACAGCAGGTGAGACACAAGTAGGGGCACAGGTGAGAGTGTTCTCTGGTGTGCCAGTGTTTTGAAGAGAGAGTGTGCAGGGCTGAGTCCCTGCCCACCACAGACACACCAACGATGATCTGCTGGAGTGTGGGCTGTCTGCTTGGCAGCTTTACTGTGGAAGCAGATTTCAAACACAAAGGACACATCCCAAAGACGCCTACCGATAATGCCTTTGTAGTTAGTTGGTATAATGTCTTCGTTCCGAAACTTTGCACCTTGCAGCTTCAGTCTGGTGTTCACCACCCAGAGCGGAGTCGTTAGCAACACATTCACCACTCCTGCAAAACAGAGACACCGGAGGGCAGCCTCACCTTCTAATCTCTGTTGTCTTAAATTACTTGCCTATATGCCGCTTACAACCCTGCTGCCGTACGGCACGTGCTACCGCTATTAGATGCAATCCTCACATGAAAGGAATGGATGGAGGATTTCCTTACTCAGCGAGGGCAATCTTTTTTTTTTTTTTTTTTTTTTTTTTTTTTTTAGAGCTGGGGATTTCACTCAGGGATAGAGCAGTTGTCTAACACATGCCTGGTTCAATCACTAGCAACACAAAACGAAAACAAAAACAAAACACATGGCTACCGACAAAACACAGCAGCAGTTTGATAGAGTTTTAAACACAACTGTTAAATAACAGCCCCAGAGAGGGGAGTATTCTGTTGACACCATGTTAAGTCTATGTCAACATGAAGAAAACCGCCAGCTCTCGAGTAAGTAGCACACGTTTTTTAAACAAGTATGATCTGGTACTGTGGGTGAGAGGTGAGACGACAGAGCGACATTTCCAAGTGCTTCAACTGGGACCAAAAGCTCACAGAAGAGCCCATCACTCACAGGATTAGGGCAGGCGGCAGCAGGCAGGAGTTACAAAGTGCCACAAAATACCCAAAAGAGCCCCGGGAGCACTGTGACCCTGGCAAGCACGAACACCGACCTTGGCCCCAGGGCTGCCTCAGGGCAGCACAGTGAGCCAGGGGCTTCTTTGAAAACACAGGGTTCCAATTTAACAGCATCTTGAGATATTAAAACTTCCTCATCGTCCTGAAACGATTAAAGAAAATACCATACAGGATTGTAACAAAATGTCTGACAGGTGATGTAGACTTCATAACTACAGGACAAGCAAGGAACAAGCGGTGAGTATGTCCAATGAGTGTGTATGATGGGACCGTGTGGCTCCAGCTGAGCCCTGAAGAACAAAGAGGAATGTTCCTGGGGGAAAAAAAAAAAAAGATGCCCCCCCCCCGCCCTTGGCTGAAAATCCTTTAAACATGAAACAGAGAAAAAAAAAATGTTTTCATTTAAGGAATCTCAAAATACCCTACAGAGAAAACAGTTTAATCAAGGATAAACTTGGTGAAAGCAGCAAAGAGACTCAGATCTATCGTTATATTTGTTTCATACAGTCATCAAAGTAAGACGATTTTCTGCTTATTTTCCAGGAGTATTGTACCAACATATTTCCCCCAAATAAAAGACAGGGTCAGGTAATCTTACGAACTGCACGTCTACAGATTCACATACGACTGCAAAGCCATCTGTGGCTCTGACTCTATTCATACATTGTCTCGAGGCATTGATCACAATCTGAAAAAAACAAAAACAAAAACAAAAAACTGTGCCTGCCACAGAAGATCTTTCTTTGCTAGACCCTTTCTAAAAAGGCCCCACTGTCCCCACAGCCCATCTGCCAAGGGTGCAGAACGGATACCTACTTGATATGATGTACACTTCACTTCACAGAGACAAATCAATAACTGGGAAAATCAGGCCAGAAAATGCCAGTGTCGGCAGCTCCCCTCTGCCCCCCAGGAGAAAGAGAGGACAGAAGAGCTTGGAATCCATGGATACCACAGAAAAGCACAGTGCATGCACCTTCCCAAACAAATTAAATGCATTGCCTGATTTTTTTAGAAATAAAAACATTCTTCAGGCTCTATTCAAGAGGTAGGCAGGCATACACAAAACATTTCAGGGGCAACACAGCCAAGACTAAGATTCAGCCATTATTTAAGGCTCAGCAGAAAGACTGTAAGATGCTGAGGACAACCTCAAGTACAAAGTGCACCACAATATTTAAATGAAGGGATGGGAAGTCACTGCAAGCGCCTGAGAGGATAGAGTACTCCCTTTATCCTCTGAGCCAGGATGGACGGAGAGGTACCTTTTTACCACGATAATTTTATGAATTCTGGGGTGGAATGCTCTCAAAATACTTGACAATGCTTTTTAAAAACTTCACTAAAATTTGCAACTTACATAATCAAGCAAATGGCAGCATTCCAGAGCTCCTCATGACTAACTCCAGTTCCTAATAACACACCACAGGCAGACCTCGAGGGAGCCGGAGCAGCACTCTTGTTGGCTCTAATCTGTGGGTGCTACTCAGCTCCAAGACCTGAGTGCTAATTAATCCTCTCCCTTCCTAAGAACAGGGGGTTATTCTTCTTGAGTATCTATGAATCTACTTTTTCTTTTCCTTTTCAGTAACAATCATTTATGAGAAAGCAGAACCAAAATCAAGAGCTGTGAAACACTAACCAAACACATGAAAACCACTCAGCCGTCCAAGTAAAGGAGTGTAAAGGAGCATGGGAACACCACACCAATCCTCCCATCCAGGTAAAGGAGCCGGGAAACACCACCCCAAACTCAGCAGCTATTATACTAATTTTTAAATGTAGCCTCTTGGAGGCTAGAAGCAGCTCCACTCCAGCGTTCCCTTCTTTGCCTAAAGATGAAACCATCCTTGCGTGTCATAGGAGAGAAGGCTGTCTGTAACTACAACTGTCTGTTTGTGAAGGGCTGTCACAAGCTGCTGTCTGTCTCCCCAGCCAACTCACTTCCAGACAGAATCGTATAAGCCACTCTGCTCTCGAGGCCTACTCATTCCCTCTAATGAACATTTATTACTACCACTCAAAACCGACCTCTCTCTTGGACAGGAAAGGGTACACAGGTTAATGTGTAGCCACTAACCTGAGGTTGCTTCCTGTGCAATTTAAATACATTTGCTCTGTTGCACATCATGATGTATTCCTCCCAAGAGAGGCAGCGGGCAGGTATCTGTGGCTTTCATCTGCCACTTTGTTTTATTCCTGCTAACCTGTCTACTGTCGGCTCATCTCAGAAACCTTTCAAAGGAAAGAAGCAGCCACTGTTCATCCTCACACCAGGAATATCTGGGTATAGCTGTTTACCCCTGAAATCTTAAAACTAAACGGCCTTGAAATGTGTCTCAGACACACAGCCCAGGAGTGTGTGTAATAATGGCAGCGGATGCAGGAAGATGTCCAGGGCTGGGGAGATGGAGCTCAGATCATCATCACCCCAATAAACAGCTGGGCATGAATGGCGGTATGTGCCTATACATCCCGTGCTGTGTGTGTGTGTGCGCGCGTGCGCAGCTATCCTATCTAGAAATGGTGGGGCTCTCGATTCAGTGTGAGACCCCATCTCAAGGGAACAAGCAGAGACCTGTAGAAGATGGTGTCCAATATACTCCACTAACACGAAAGCGGATTCCTGCACACATATGCATATAGGGTTACTGGCATGCTCGGGTGTGCATGTCACGCACACACACTATTTAAATAAATAATTTTGTTTTGTTTTTCAAGACAGGGTTTCCCTGTATAGCCTTGGCTGTCCTGGACTCACTCTGTAGACCAGGCTGACCTCGAACTCACAGAGATCTGCCTGTAAGTAAATTAAATTTTAAAAAGAGGAAGAAAATGGCAAATCAATCTTGGGAGGTTGAAGCAGGAGGATCATTAAGTTCAAAGCCAGCACAGTCTATATAGTGAGATCACAAAATCAATCCCCCAAAAAGATAGAATAAAATAAAACAAAATGGCAGATGAAAGCCTCATAATCTAACCCACTGTCTCCCCAGGGAGGAGAGCAAGATGATGTTCAGCAAGAATAAACCTGACTGGCCAGATTAAGGCGGAGGCAGGAAGTACATTCTCAACTCTCCAAACAGTGGCAACTGACATTCAAAAGTGCTGCTGCTCAAAACTATAATTCATAAATGTGACAAGCACTGTCTTCATTTATGCCATCTGTAAGGCTCTAGTCCCAAATTCTCCCAGGTGCGTCTATGGGATTTTTCTGTGGAAATACAATAAATATTAACAAACTTCTAAGTTTCAAGCAGAATCTGAATAACAATAAACCAGCAGTTCACAACCTGCGGGGCAAGACCACTGGGGGTGTCCAGTGACCCTTGTATAGGGTTCAATGACCCTTTTATAGATGCTGCCGAAGACCACTGGAAAACAGAGATATTACAATTCATGATTCAGAGCAGCAGCAGAATTACAGTTATAAAGTAGCAATGAAAATAACTTTGTGATTGGGGTCACCATAACACAAGGAACTGTGTTAAAGGGTCATCACATTAGGAAGGCTGGGAACCAACAACTAAAGCTGTGCCTCGCTCTCTCTTCAGAGAAAGGGATGCTTGTTTCTCTGGTGCTAGCACAGTGGCAGGGCTCACAGAGAAAAGGCAGCTAAAATTACTGCAAGACTGGTATGGATTGAAATAGGAACACGTTATCGGGAGAAGTTTGAAGCTCACAAAAGTAATTCCCAAGGAATTCTGTGCCATAAGAAAGGACTTCTAACAGAGGACCTCAGAACCTCCGTCTTAAATACCTCTTTAATTCCAAGCTTCTCGAGTACAACACTGACATGTTAAGGAGGTCACTGCTGTGTGCTCCTGTGTAGGATGGTGTTGGGGACACTGTCCTTCAGGCACACTGTGCTCATCACTATCTTCTTCATTCTTGTGAAATTTTATTTTATATATGTATACTTGTGTGAACTTACAGCAGACGATGTATGTACAGGAGCCTATGAAGGCCTGAAGAGAGTCTGATCCCTTGGAATTAGACATTCGTGAGCCTGAGTAAGCGTGTGGGTGCTCTTGACCACTCGGCCATCTCTTCAGCCCTGGTCATCACCTCTTAACATTCGCTCACAGAAGGACTGGGGATGGACTATGAGACCCTCATCTTAGACAACCGCTCCCTAGATGTGTGCAACTCTGCCTAGGCTGCACATGGTCTTGAGAAGTGCTAAAATATACAGGAAATGCGAATTTGACTGGAGGAAGCACTTATTTATGTAGCTTTCAGGAAGTAGCTTTCATCCATGCTGGAAGGAGACTTCCTGGGGATACAGCTGTTTTGGGGTCACCCACGGTCTTACAGCTCAGCTATGCTCTTCTAAGTAAGGTCAAGAAATTCATTTGTCCACCAAGCTGGACATGGGAGTCTCCGAGATGAACAGACATCTCAGTGCAGACAGGGACCACGAAGATCAAAGATAGGCTTGGGAGAATGTGCGGTGGCACTGTTCCTGCCGTGGGCATGAACATCAAAGGAAGCTAAGGAAGGAGCACCTTGGACTAGGGAGGAGGTGGCCCCGTGTGGTATGGAATGGCATGCCTTCTTGCCACAGTAAGTTACCTTGTCCTTGCCATGCGGCCAAGTCTGCTCCATCTGCAGGTGGTGCCTGTGGGGTAATCCCAGAGTGCCTGTCTTCCTCTTTGTGGTACAGAGTGCCACGCTTTCTATCACACAAGTGCAGGGACATCTCCAAAATAGCTGACAGATGGAGAACGACTGGGATCCTGAAATGTGCAGGTAGGGGATGGAACTGTAAGCAGGCTGTGGCATCAGCTGCGGGTGCTTTGCTATGATGGTTAAGACAGGCAGTGAGGCTCAGCTGTCTGTCCAGGAGAAACATGCCCATACAAAAGAGAAATTACAACGAGAAAAGGGATATGCGGATTCTTTGTTCTGCCTAGCCTCTGAGTTGGCAGGAAAAGTGGGAGAAAGGGATGTGATGGAGAGGCTGGTTACTGGGGGAGGCTGGAAAGGACAGACAGTACAGATTAGATCTGTGCTGGTTATGGCTTGAATGAATGTCCTTGTGGTCTTTAGTTGGTCGTGCTGTTTAGTTGGTCACGGAGGAAGGACAACACTGAGGGTGAGCTGTGAGGGTTTATAGCCTTACCCCACTTCCCGCTCATTCCTTCTCCTTCCTTTGTGTGGTAGAAGTAGGATCCCTCAGCCTCTTGCTCCTAACTGATCTGTCTTGCTTCCTCTACTCTTCTTCAAGTCATCTCAGCACAGTGCCCAGTGGGTTCATGTTGAAACACAGGTGGGAGCCTCTCGATGCTGCTGAGAGCCCTCCAGTTGCTTCTGATCTCTTGTACTGCAGAGCACTGTGCGACTTGGTCCTTCTGTGCTCTTTAGTCACACTGGCCTCTGTTCTGGTCTGGAACATTGCTGGCATGTTTCTGCCTATCTGTGTCACCTCCTTTAAAATGCTCACAGTGACCAGGCGGTGAAGGGGTGTGGGCCTTTAAGGCAGATGGAGCTCTGTGAATTCTAAGGCCAGCCTGGTTTATAGAATTAGTTCTGGGACAGAAAAGGCTATAAAAAGAAACCATGTCCCCAAACAAACAAACAAACAAACAAGCAAAGACCACACTGTCTAAAACAGTTCCTTTGCTAACCCATAGCACCCTCCACCCCACTTCTCTAATTAAATTCTCCTTTGGCCCTTATCTTCTAACACGCTGCACATTTGGTTATCTTTCTTACATCACAGGTACTGACCTTCACGAGGACAAGGATTCTCACTCACTTACTACTACTGTCTTTGGCAACCAAAACCCAGGTCAACAGAAGCGGGAACAGGCACCACCACTCAGAACACTGCAATGGTTTTAGGGGCTGTGGCATGTTTTTACATGGCATGAAGGATTCCTACAACTCAAGAATACAAAAACAGTAACTTGGTTAAAAAAAAATAGGACAAGAACTCAGAGGGACATTTTTGTAAAGATGATATACAAACAAGCAATGAGCACAAGAAAAAATACTCAACCCCAGCAAAACGCAGGCCAAAATCACTTATTAGAATGACTGTTAGCATAAAGGAGAAAGCAACAAATATTGAGAAGAATGTGGAGAAACCTACAGATGATCACTGGAACTATAAAGGTACAACTGCTGTGGACACTGCCCCCAAGCCAGACAGAGAACCATGTTGAGATGAGGCCGAGCTTGCTGAGCTGCACACTGTGACTCAGTCTTGACTGCAAATACAGACTCAGAGCAATCTCACCTAGTCATGCATTTGCCTGCCAGCCCCATCCACCAGGCACGCAGTAATAATTAATGTATTCCTTAGAGCAAAAAGGATATCACCCTACAAAATTATCAAGAGGAGGTTGGAACCATATGGGCCCAGATCAGAAAAAGCAGGCCCTAGGATATACCAGACCAAGGAAGGGTCAAACACCCTCACCTGAACCGCATGAACATCTACCGCTACGATGCTGACAGTCCCCGCTGGCCTGCCGTCTGGCCACCTGGTCTGTGTGCCAAGGGACTAGAATAAGCAGCAGAAGGTTCCAAGGACTTCAGCCCAGCTCTGAGTCACTGCTGCATAGCCTACGCCCATGGCCATGTGCTAGTTTGCGGGCAGTCTGCCGGGGCCTGGTCCTCCACAGTCCCGTGCTCTCAGCAGCAGCTTCACTCGACTCTGAGGCTCCGTTCAGACCCGTGAGCTCTGCAGCTCGGCTCTGTGGCAGGGTCACCTCCAGCAGCTCTCCAATGGGACTCACTAGCTAACGTGGCACCCAGAGTCTCTTTGTACCCATCATTCTTCTGCCTCTGTCTCTCTAACCCTCTGTTCCTTAGTCCTCACACACATGATCACAGCGTGATGTCCAATGCCAGATCTAAAAGATAATACCAGTGGTTAAGATCACAACAAAAGAACAGCCAGCTTCAAGGGAAATTGGGACATGGCAAATTACAGCCAATGAGACTGATGTAGCTTAGAAATTTACTGTTTGTAAAAAATGCTGAGATTGTAAAAGACTCTAACGTGTCTATCTATGCTTCTGACAAAGCTCATGACGATTACATTAGGGTCCACAGTTCCATTTTGGGACATATATACAAAAGCACCTGAGAGGAGGTCCTCAAAGACATGCCCAAGCCCATGTTCATGGAGCACTATTCACAACAGCAAGAGGTGGACGCAACCCGTGCCCATTAGAGATGAGTGGATTCACACAATGTGATGTATTCACACAGCAGAACATTATCCAGACACAAGCAGGGAAATACATGTCAAATGCTACACACTGGAGATACTACTAAGTGGAATAAGCCCATTACGAAAGGACAGTTACTGTGTGATTTCACTTATACCTAATGTGGTCGGACCCTTCACGGCAGAAAGTAGAATGAATGATGGTTACGAAGGGCTAAAGATGAAGAGATGGGGAATTTACTTAGGGTAAATTTACTTAGGGTGTATGAGGTTTGTAAGATGAAAAGCTTCTGGCGGCCTGGAGAGAGGGCTCAGTGATGAAGAGCACTGTCTGCTCCAGAGGTCCTGAGTTCAATTCCCAGCACCCATATGGTGGCTCACAGCCATCTACATTGGGATCTGTTGCCCTCTTCTGGCATGTAGACGTATATGTATGTAAAATTAAAAAAAAAAAAATTTAAAGGTTAAAAAAAAAAACAAAAACACTTCTGATGTGAGTTTCTAAATGCAAACATATTTCACATGACTAACTTACCTTAAAATGGTTATAATGACAAATTTTATGTCATGTGCTTTTACCATCACGTTAAGAAAAACTGGCCATTTCTCTGCAGCATTACTGGGTGCTAAAATAATCTCTTAGGGGATATATGAAGCACAGATCAATATTAAAATACACAGATATTTTATACCTAGAAAACCTTGTTACCTGCAACAAATCCAACCACCAGATCTTTTCCTGTGGAAGAACGTTGACCTTTGACCCATACTGCTTTGAGGCTATTAAAAGTGTAGAAATAGACAAAATTGGAGCAGCAGAGACTGGAAATAACTGGAAACCACCCACGGTATGGTGCCAGGCTATGGAAAAAACACAATAAGCCAAGTAAAGGTCATGGACAAAGGCCGCAGGAAATTGTCAGAGAAGCCTCTCAAGGTCTGAATGTAAACCGCTCCCCCATAGGCTTATGTATTTGAATGATTCATGTCAACCCCTCTCCCTGCAACTGTTTTAGAAGGCTGTGAAATCTAAGAGGTGGAGCCTTGCAAGAGGGAGTAGTCACTGGAGATGGACCCTGAGGTTTGACAGCCCAGTTCTACTTCCTGTGGAGGCAATGTGATTGGTTGGCGTAACTGACCTACTGTGATGGACTGTAAAGTCAGAACAAACTCTCCCTCCCTCACTTGGTCACAGAACTGAGAAAAGCAACTAGTATGAAGCCCAGGAAAGTCTGGCCTCCATTGACAGTCTCAAGGTTTGACAAAGAGCAGGACATCTGCGGCCCCTTAAAAGGCTCTCCCTACAGCTGCTTAGAGCTTAGGAAGAAGCCAAACCACATGTCAGAAAGCGCAGGTGGACAACACCAGGCCAGGGAGAGATGGGGAGGGAGGGAGGTGTTTTATCATGCTGTCCAGCCCGACCCTGAACTCCTGTGTTGAGCAGTTCTTCCTCAGCCTCCTGTGGAGTGGGACCACAGGTCCACACTACTCTGTCACCTATGCACTCATCATTCTTATCAAAAATTCACGAGCCAATCTAACCATGAGGCAAACTTAAAACAGGAATTAAAGCTCACACCTTTAGCAGGGATTGGTGGAGCATGCCTGTAATCCCAGCTTCAGGGAAGCAGGAACAGGTGGATCTCTGTGGGATCGAGGCCAGCCTGGTCTACAAAGCAAGTTCAGGACAGCCAAGGCTACACAGAGAAACCCCGTCTCCAAAAACAACAACAATGGCAGCAAAATCCCAAATGGCTGACAGATCTGTAAGGAATTAAAAGCACATACGCCTCTATAAGTTAGACAACTATAAGCTCTCAAGACTAGAAGCCACTGGGTGGCTGCTGGTGCATACCTTTAATCCCAGTACTTGGGAGACAGAGGCAGGTGGATCTCCAGCCTGGTCTACAAAGTGATTCCAGGACAGCCAGGGCTACACAGAGAAACCCTCTCTTTAAGCCTGTAAGCATGGACTTGGGAAGTCCCATGATCAACGATTCTAACAGAGCTGTGAAGCGGGTGGTACTCACAGGCCTTCCTCCTTAATTATCTCCAGGAGCACTGCGTGCGAAGTTTTTGACTTTCTTTTCTCATCAACTGTAAGAATGAAGAGAATTATTATCTGTAGCACCAGCAAGTTTCACTAAAATGTCATCACTTCAGCTGCACTAATCCTTAGCTTTTCTTTGAGCTCCTTGCTTTGCCTCAGACCCTCCAGTGTGTCCAAACACAGCTTACTCCCCAGAGTATATTCCTTGGGTTTCATTTGTTACTGAGAAAGAATTTTCATTTAAGCCCTAATCTCCACAGTAAAGCAAAAATGCTATTTCTGAAGTTTTTATAGAGCTTTCTTTCTTTTTCTTTCTTTCGGTTTTTGTTTTTTTGGAACAGGGTTTCTCTGTGTAACCTTGGCTGTCCTGGAACTCACGCTGTAGACCAGGCTGGCCTCAAACTCACAGAAATCCACTTGCCTCTGCCTCCCAAGTGCTGGGACACAGGTGTGCACCACCCCACCCGGCTAGAGCTCTTTCCTAAAATACTTACTTTATTTATGTTTATGTTTGTGTGTGTGTGTGTGCACATGAATGCAGGTGCCCCTGGAGGCCATAAGAAGGTGTATGAGCCCCTGGAACTGAAGTTACTGTGAACTGAACTTGGGTCCTCTGGAAGAGCAGGATATGTCTGTAACCACTAAAGCATCTCTTGAGCTCCATCTACCCTTCCTTCCCTTCTTTTTGTCCTACTTCCCTTCCTTCCCTGTGTCTATGTGCCACATGTAGGAAGGGAACCTTGGAGGTCAGGGGGAGTCCCATCCCTTGGACCTGGAGGTACAGGCAATTGTGAACCTTGTGATGTGGGTGCTAGAACCAAACCTGGGTCCTCAGGAAGTTCAATACATGCTCTAAACTGCTCTCCAACCCCATACAGTGCTCTTTTTAAAACTAACATGCATGCTCTCATTTTTATTTCTACACCTTAAAAATAAGAAACAGATTACCAGCTGGGTGCAGCAGCTCATGCCTGTTATCCCAGCACTTGGGAAGCTGAGGCAGGTGGATCTCTGTGAGTTCAAGGCTTTAAGGCCAGCCTGGCCTACAAAGCAAGTCTAGGACAGTCAAGGCTACATGAAGAAACCCTGTCTCGAAAAAAAAAAAAAAAAAAAAAAAGGAAGAAAAAAATAAAGAAATAGATTACTTTATTTTTATAAAAAGAAAGATTGATTTTATTTTCTATGTATGAGGGTTTGCCTGCGTGTATACATGTACTAAATGTGTGCCTGGCACCCAGGGAAGTCAAAAGAGGGTGTTGGGATATCTAAGAGCTGGAGTCACAGATGGTCTAGAGCCACCAGGTGGGTGCTAGGAATCAAACCCAGCTCCTCTGCTAGAGGTATAACATTCTTAATCTCTGAGCCAAATCTCCAGCCACTATTCTCTTCCTTTTATAAAAAAGGCTAGGGAAACAAGAGCAAAGTCAAGATTAAATCTCAAGTTTCATAAATTCTGGCTTTATGCTTCTTCCTAACCTTAAAAAAAAATCCCAGAAGGCAACGTTCTCATTTCTTGTGTGTTGCTGCTGAAAACAATATCCACTTCAATTAGCTTCACATTTCCTGCTGATACTAGAAAATTAATCCAAAACACAAAAAAATGTGAAAATGAACCAATTTCTTCAAAATTAAAATTGGTCCCCGTATATCTTATGAAATGGCAAGTTAGTCAGCTCCTAATAAAAGCAATCTGGCATTTGCTCAAAATCACACATTTACCCTAGATTCAGAAGGAATCTCACATTTGGGAATTTATCCCATGAAGTTTACAGAAACAAAATGTATGAACAAATCTATTCTTACATCATATTTGCAAGAAGAACAATAATAAAACAGTAAAACGAGCCAAGAATTCTTCCACAATAGGGCAGGGTAAGCTGGCTTCGGTGCATTCACACCAGACGGATTGACGACTGGAAGACTGATGGACAAAGACACACTGCCAGGCTTAAAATGCAAAGCCTGGGGGCCTGCAGAGATGGTAGCAGTTAAGAGCACTGGCTGCTCTTCCAGAGGACCCGGCTTCAATTCCCAGCACCCACAGCGTGACTCATAAGCATCTGTAACTCCAGTCCTAGACAATCTAGTGCCTTTTCTGGTTTCTGTGGGCTACAAACATTTGGGCAAAAACCCATATACATCAAATAGAACCTAAAACAGATTTTTTTTTTTTAAATGCAAGGTCTAGACCAGAGCAGAGTGTGCTTTCTGTATGAGTAAGGTGGAAAATTCAGAATACACATTATTGCTTGCTATTCCATAAAGTCTGAAAGGCTATTCAAGAAACCAGGAAAGGCTGACTGACAGCCTCATGCTTCACTCCCATAGAACAGTGGACTGCAACACCAGCCACTCCTTTTGTTTTGCTCTGCCTCTCTCATGCTCTCTTCCTCCCTCCCTCGCTCTCTGAAGCCAGGTGCTCAAATGGTCCACAAGCCTCAGCCTCCCAAGTAGCTGGGACCGCAGGGGTGCACACCCCACACCCGCCATTTTGAAGGGTGTCTAAACTAAGAAATGTTGGGGCTGGAGAGATGGCTCAGCAGTGAAAAGCTTCTACGCTCTTGTCGAGGACCTGAGTTTGAATCTCAGCACCCCACGTGGCTCACAACTACCTGTACCTCCAGGGTCCCCAAAGCCTCTGGCTTCTGAGGCCACCTGCGCTCCGGTGCACATACCTGCAGATACACAGCGTGCATATGATTAAAAGTCATTTTAAAAAGTAAGAGACAAAGACAGCGTGAAATCTTCCTGGCAATGAGGATACAGAGGAAACAACACAAAGTCAGTTGATGTTCAGTCCACTGGGGAGGGGTGAAGGTGGATTTGAGGTCGGCCTGTACGACATGCCTTTCTATGTATTCTGCTTTGTGAATCATATAAACAGTTACCTATCTGAAAATTTCAACCACAAATTTTAACGTTTGAGTCAGTTTTCTAACTTTCTTATGCAAGCTGTGGCAACAGTTTATAATTTCAAGGTGAGAAGAAAATAGGAGGGGGAAAGAAGAATTATAGCAAAGCGAGAAATGCTATAGTGCTAGAGGCAAGTTAGGATGAGGTGTCCAGGTGAGCAAGGACAGTGGTTGTTTGTCTGTTTGCTCTTCTTAGAACCCTTCCTCTTCTTAGAACCCCTCCCTGCCTAGAAACGCCTAGTTTAAAAAGCAACAGTCTTCCCGGAGACAGGGCTCAGGGGCGGAGCTCTTGCCCAGCACATGTGAGGCCTGGGGTGTTAGAAAGAACGCAATGACCTGAGGTTATAGGCTGGCTAGTGCTATGGCTCATCCACACATGACTGAGAACTAGGAAACTGAGAGCTGGTAGTCAAGGGGCGGTGGAACAGCAGGGCCTTCCCGTCAGGCCCGGAGGTCCCCAAGGGGGACACCCTCATGTGAATGACTGGGGTGGGCCATCAGGAAAGCTGAGGCTGGCTAGGCCGGCTTCCCTGCTGTGTCCCTCTCTTGTAGCAGCTCCTCACTTTAACCCAGCGCTGATTCCTCTACTAAGCCTGGCAGCCACCTTGGGGCTGACTGTCTTAAGATATTTCAGTTTCCAAGGTCAACTGCTCTTGAACTTGTTTGCCAGGTGTTAAACTGCATTGTCCAAACACCAGTGGTGTGAGTGTAGTCCCGATTTCACTGCCCACTTATCTACCAGGCAGTTCACTGCCCTCATGTAGAGATCTTACACGTGCAGCGTATTGAGAGCACATTCCCCACCTGTTTTCTTGTGTGGGCTTGCTGTATGTTAAAATCAGTGAGACGGGTTTCAGAAGGGCAGGTGTCTTGGCGTGACAAGTGTACGTAAAGACTTGCTGGTGGGAGAAAAGTTGCCGGTCTCTGGTTCCCTCGACTTAACCCTTCAGGCATCCTTTTCTGTTCTAAGAGCCTGCAGAGTCTCGGCTGGTACTGAGGACTGTTTCTTAAGTGGTCTCTGGCCGGTTTACAGTAGAGACTGCACCCGTACACTTAGCCCTCGGGCTTCTCTGACGGCACACTGGGTAATGCCTGCTGGCGTTTTCTGCAGGTGGCTCTCGTGTTTATTTTGACTCCAGTTGCCGCAGTTCCCCTCTAGAGAACAACGCGGAGCGGGGCTGGAGAGATGGCTCAGGGATTAAGAACGGCGGCCGCTCTTTCAGAAAACCTGGGTTCCATCCCCAACATCCTTGTGGTGGCTCACCACTACCCATCACTCCAGTCCCAGGGGCTCCAGCGCCCTCTTCCGGCCTCTGTGGGCGCTGTACACACACACGGTACACAACGCCCATGCACTAAAAATAAAAATAAAGGAGAATAATGTGGAGTGGGCACTCAGTGGTCAAGCACTGGCCAGCTGCGGGTGCAAAGCTCTGAGTTCAGCCCCTAGCACAGAAAGAGAAGGGGCAGAGATCAAACATTTAAATCAGGTACAAACCTGGAAAGCAAGAACTTCAGAGGTGGAGGCAGGAGGATGAGTTCACGGTTAGGCTATCCAGCGAGTCTGAAGCCAGCTCGGGCTAGATAGAATCCCCTCAAAAAACAGGGCAAGCAAGCAGACGGCAGTGGTTGCCTAAACAGAGAATCCTCATCTTGCTGCAGTGAGCACTAGAGAAATGGCTGCTTCCCCACTTCAGAAGATCAGGAAAGAGATCCACACTCACCCTGAAGGCGAAGTCTAGCCGTATCCAAGGGAAAGAACACTGTCATGGCCGTCACACTTCCCTGCAAAATCAAAGAGGGCTTTAGCCATTACAGTAACTTAGACAACTTAAGGCAAAAGTGTGTGTGTGTGTGTTCTTTATTTTATCCATATAGGTGTTTTGTCTGCATGTATGGCTGTCCGTGTATTACTTGCATGCCTGGTATACAGCGGAGGCTAGAAGAGGGTGTCAGATTCCCTGGGATTGAAGTTTAGATGGTTATGAGCCCTATGGGTACTGGGAATTGAACCCAGGTCCTCTGCAATAGCAGCCAGTGTTCATAACCACTGAGCAATCTTTCCAGCCCAACTGCAATTTTTACATGATCAAAAATTCATTAGTACTATTGGTTAAATTAAATTCTTACCAAGTAAACATGGTACTTTAATGTATTGGGATTATTATTCGATGTTTTTTGTTTGTTTTGGTTTGGCTTTTTTGGTTCTTTGAGACAGGGTTTCTCTGTGTAGCCCTGACTGAGCTGGAAACTCTGTAAGCCAGGCTGGCCTCCACCTCAGCCTCTACCTCCCGAGTGCTGAGATTAGGTACATGCCACCACCACCTGGTTCAACATTCAAGTTCTCCACGTTCATGTTTCCAACAAAGCATAGAGGGAGTCTATGTGTGCTAAGGCATGCTAAGCAAGGATGGAGGAAGATGCCACTTGTCAAGGAATGTGGGGAAAGAACCCTAGAGCAGTGGTCCTCAACCTTCCTGAGGCTGCACCCCTGAACACAGCTCCTCATGTCATGGTGACCCCCAACTATGAAATTACTTCCATTGCTCCTTCACAACTGTGGTTTCACTACCATTATCAATGGTAATGGAAATACCTTACGTAGACTGCCTCAGTGGACCCCAGTGGCGTTCAGCTTCCCCCAACAGGCTGTGAATGGCTGCCCCCCCCTGGGAACCTTTCAGTTGAATACCATGACAGCAGCAGCCAGGGAACATCAGTCCCAGGCAGTAACTAATATGCGCTTCTGGGCTTCCCGAAGGTGACCTGGAATGTGCAGGTGACACAGAAAGCTAGTCTGCCAGAATACCAGCCGGACTTGTCAAGATCCCTGGAGGCCAGCAGCAGTAAATGAACAGGATCTCAAGGCTCACAGGTTTTACTCCACTAAAGGAGAGAACGCACACAGGCATATACGAGCGTGTGCGTGTACACACACACACACACACACACACACACACACACACTCCCTCTATGCTTTGTTAGAAATATGAATGTGAAGCTTAAAATTTGAATGCTGAACCTGGCAGTGATAAGTTCGAGGCCAGCCTGATCTACAAAGCAAATTCCAGGACAGTCAGGGCTCCACAGAGAAACACTCTCTCAAAAGACCAACCCTCAGTGTTGAGATGTGAGTTTCTAATTACAGCAATCTGGTGTCTTAGACAATGTGCTGCCAAATACCTAAAAATGTTGAATAAAACATAGCAAACACCTTTGGGTTTATCTCAATGCACCTGGAGGCTAGAAATTAGCCACAGGGTTAAGCAGGTTCTTCTACTTTCCTGGCTTCAGGAAAGAGATTTTTGTTTTGTTTTGCTTTGCTTTTGAAACTGAGGTAAAATTCATGTACTACAGAACTAACCACTGTAGAGTACACCTTAAGGATTGAGGATGAAGCTCAGCTGGCAGACCCAAACAGGCCCCAAACCCTGTGCTTGACTGACAAATTCTGCATAAACTGGGAATTGTGGCACACACTTGCAATCCCAATACTTGGGAAGGAGAAGCAGAAGGAACAGAAGTTCAAGATCACCTTTGATCGCATAGCAAGCTCAAAGGAACTAGAACATGAGGTCATGTTTCAAAACAAAACTGAAACCAAAGGATACCATTCCTAAGCAAGCAATGTTTTCCCTACGCTCATCCTCTGGAAGCCACAAAGGCCTTCTCTCTACTGACGTGCACATTCTGTGTATTTCCTATAAGAAGATTCATGTAGCCCACAATTATCTCTTTTCTCAGCCTCAGTAGTGTGTATCAACTGCCCATTCCTTCTCACGGACCAGTAAACTCCACCATGTACGTACACTACACTCTGTTTAGTAATCCCTCACGTTTCAGCATAAGACAGAGGTACTGTGGCCCAGCGACGGTGGTGCACACCTGTGGTCCCAGCACTTGGGTGACAAAGTCAGGCAGGTCTCTGAGTTAAGGCCAGCCTGGTCTACACAGTGAGTCCAGGACAGCCAGGGCTACATAGAAAAACCCTGTATAAAAAAAAAAAAAAAAAAGGTAGTGGTCGAACAACATTACATAGTAAATACCACTGAAGTGCACACTTCAGAATTAGCTGCGAGCACTACACTTCAATTACAAAATTAATCCGCATCCAGCCTGCTGTAGCAGACTGCCATCCTGCCCATTTTACAGATGGGAAAGTGGCTACTGAGAGGTTTGGCAGTTTTCCTAACAAGACTAGAACTCAACCTGGCAGCCTCTTCAGAGTTCACTCTTAGCTAGGCAGAGGTGGTGCACACCTTCAGTGCCAGCACTTGGGAGGCAGAGGTGGGTGGATCTCTGATTCAAAGCCAGCCTGGTCTACAGAGTGAGTTCCAGAACAACCTGAGCTACACAGAGAGACTCTGTCTCAAACAAACAACAACAACAAAAAAGTTCACTTTTAATCACTTCTGTATTGAAAACTTTAAAGATAAATATAAAAAGGGTACCAATATGAAACTCAATTTATGTCTCTAAATTTCTCTGTGTAGCCCTGACTGTTCTGGAACTCCCTCTGTTGATCAGGCTGGCTTTAAACTCAGATCTGCCTGCCTCCACCTCCCAAGTGCTGGGATTAAGGACCTGCAAGGCCCTGCTGTATTCGTTTCCTCATCAAGGAAACACAAAGGGCTGTTTCCACACGCACTGTTACCTGCAACAAAATATTTATTTTACATGCACGCCTCATTCCAAGTTATACAAACACATGATTTTCAGAATCTGAATGAAATTCCTCTAAATATATTCATATTTTTTTCCTGAGAACAATTTGTTCAGTTATGCACAATGAGAAGACACAAATGAGAACAGTCATGATGTACCGTGCTGTTGTGCCAGATAGACATAAAATAAACCTACTGAGCCCCCACAGAGCTCTATCTGAGGAGGAGCGCTATTACAGACAATAATTACAATTTACAAGAATCTATTTCTAGACAAACCTATTTTAGAGATTTCATTCTCTCACCAAAATCACTGAATTGCAACATTCTGTATTGGGAGAACAAGTAAATTCCTACATTGCATTGACAATTGAGGCCAGAAGGTCCCGTCAGCTGGAAAGTCAACAAGGAGCTTGGGGCCAGCAGCCAGGGGTCAGTTCAAAGGCAGAAAGAAAGTGGAAGTGCCCAGACTCCTCACCCCCTGTTCACACACTCACAATTTGGTCTTCAGCATAGCCACAAGTGTTAATATGCACTATATTATTATTATTCAGTTCTAAGTTCTTTCTTTCCATTAGGATTTCTTCTCTAACCCACATATGATTCACAAAAACATGTGCACAGCATTCTGGGCCTGCAGGCTTCACTATCTGGGAATTTTTGTGGGAGGTTAGCCCTGGAATTCAACACCAGAAGGATGAGGAAAGGGGACAACAAGAAGAAATGTATCTTGAGAGCTGGCACTTGCTACAAGCTTGACAATCATTATGAGTTCATGCCTGGAACCCACATGATGAAGGGAAGTTGTCCTCTGATCTCCACACAATTGCCATGGTGCAGAGGCACACACAACACTATAAATAATGTTAAAGAAACACATTTTTATAGTCCAGTAAACATATGTAGAGGAATTCAGATCGTGGCTGAGGTAGCAAGAGATCACATCCAAAGACATAGGTGATCCGGCTGGAATACTAGCTCACCTTTAATATCAGGAGACAGAGGCAAGCAGATCTCTGAGTTCACGGCCAGCCTGGTGCAGAGCAAATTCCAGGTAAAGAAAAGCTTAGGTCCAGGTGTGGTGGTAAACGCCTCCAATCCCAGCACTCAGGAGACAGAGGCATGTAGATCTCCGAGTCCTAGTCAGTGCTGTTCAGTCAGTTCAGCTGAATCAGTGAGTGGAGAAGCAGTGCAGTGAGTGAAGTTGAGTTCGTGGGATTCAGAGACAGTTTTACCAGGACAGGAGGCAGAGGCAGGTGGATCTTTTCTTTTTTGATGCTGGAGATTAAACTCAGGCCACTGACCATACTAAACACATACTTTCTGACTTTCTGAAAGTCGGTAAAAATAACGCAGAAACAGACCCAACTGAAACTAGATACTATTGCTGTAAAATTCCCATGACATCACAAGCATCATTGTTGTAGGATATTTGATCCCATTGCAAACCCCAAGACTGTGAACACTAAAAACCTGTTTCTAGTTGTAGAGCGGCTCTGCCCTAACACACACCTTTAATATCCAAAAGCTAAATAAAGTCAACCCTAGGTCTAGAGCTGGAAAACAACTGACAGGGATTAAACAGAGAGGAGGGACATTGAGGGATGGGTACTTAGGCAGTGTAGAGAAGAAGGTTTTAACTTTGAGCTTTTGGCTTTGAGCTTTTGGCTTCTTCCTTCTGGGACATGGCTGAGTAGATCAGCTGGATGCCTTCTCTGTTTCTCTGAGCTAGCAGGTTTTCATACCACTAGCTGGCTTCTGAGTTTTTATTGGTAAAACTGAAAAAGGGATTTTGTATGATAAAACAGCATTGCCCCACTAATGTCTCATGAGAACCCTGGGGGGGTGAGACACTACTGTTGGCTTCCTAACTTGGTAAACACACATTCAGAAGGAAAATGTAAGTTACCCACCCACCCAGACACAGAGCTAAGCTTTACTCCAAATTCTCCCAGCTGGTATACCATACTTAGTTCTCTAAAAAGAGGTAAAGAGGGTCAGCTTAATGGCTCGGAGGATAAAGACACTGGTTGCCAAGTCTGATGACCCAAGTTTGATTCCCCAGAATCTACATGGTGGAAGGAGGAAAACCAACCCCAGAGAGTGTTTTCTGACCTTCAG